AAATATTTTGGCTCATTTAATTTGCCTTCTGGTATTTTAACACCAGGTCTCTTTTTCTTCACCATTTGGGGAACTTATTTTTATTTTCAAACAAATTTGATGCTCTTACAGAAGTTCACTTCCAGAACCAAGTGTTTAGGGAAGATTGCAGGAGTGCTGAAACAACAATGTGCTGGGAGACTCCTGATGGCAGTGTGTGTGCTGCTGGGCACTGGCTGAAAATCACTGCGCACGAGCAAGACAGACCAGGGAACAATTCTGGGCTTTATGTTGGGTTGGCAAGTTCAGAATATTTAAATGGAAAACACTTTGAACTGGAAATGTTAAATTTTAATTTAAATTTCAATTGAATTCAAATCAGATGGCAGCAACCAGGTGTCCCCAGCCGCCCCAAAAAGGATAAAAATTTGTGTGAGCTTCCTAAGGGGGCTGGAGCAGCCACAGGCTCTGCCTGTTCCCTTCCTTCCTTGGTTCCCCTTCTCCCCAGTTCCTGCTCTCCCCTGGGCTCTCTCCCCCACTCTCGGCTGCCTTTGAACACATGGGAGGGCTCAGACCAATGGTGTCACTGCCAAGTCCTTCCCGGGACTGTCTCACTGAAATTTTCCTGCAGATGCTTGATCCTAAAAGCAAATTAAAGCAAATAAATCCGGGGTGTCTGTCCTGCTGCCAGGACAGACCTGCAGCCGTCAGGCCTGGAGCTGTCATCACTCCTCAGCTCTAGCTGGGTCATTCCATTTAGACTGGGGCATTTCTGCTGGTAAATGTGGCCCGTTACCGAGGCAGAATGGATTTATTAAAGCACCCATTAGAGCTCGGTCTCTCATCAATCCCAACCCCTCCATTCCCCCGTGGACACAGACCCAGAGGCGCTGGGCACGCCCCAGTGCCTGCCCCCATCAGAGTGGCACTGCAGCAGTGTCACCTGTCCTCAGCCTGGCAAATGCAGCTGGGACTGACCCCAGCACTGCGGGGATGTGTCTGAGAGCCCCAGGCTGCACTCCGGGGTCCCCAGGGCTGGAGGCACGGCGGGGACAGGGCTGCAGTGGCACCGAGGTGGCAGGGAGCTGCTCCCTGCCAGCCCTGCCAGTGGGCACAGTGGGCAATCAGTGCTCAAATTAGTGCCATCAGCCCCAGCACAGCACACACAGGGAGGAGGGGGAGGCAGCAAAACCCAGAGGAGAGGTGAAAGTCATGGGACAGGAAGGATAAAAGGAGCGTGAAACAGAAATAAATCAAACCAACAACAAAGCCCTAAAGCAGAAAGAGCAGGAAAGGAATAAAAGGTAAGAGGACAACATAAATGGGCCAGAGTGGATTGAGAACAGTGGGAAAATGGCTCAAGTGATGATCACAGGCTGGGAGGTTGGTACAGCCACACACGTGGAGGTAAATGAGCGTCTGGATACAGAACATGTCCCTGTCTGCCTCGGAAACGGGCACCAGATGTGTCTGAGCTGTTGCCTGGGGACATTGTCCCTCCCCAGCCGTGTCACCATCCCCAGCCTGCCCACAAACATCAGCAAAAAGGGCTGTGCAAGCTGCAGAAACCGGACACAAGGAACATTGTTGTGAGAAGGAGCCTGCGAGGGCAGAGCTGCGGGAGAGCTCAGTCCCACCCCAGGGAGTGCCCTCCCAGAGCTGCCCCTTTCAGTCCAAACTCAAGAGGAGTAAAACTGAAACTGTGGAGATTTCCCAGAGAACGGAAATTTGTAACATTTGTTCTGAAATATGACAGCATTTTATCTCTGGGCACAGGGCATGGGGCACTCCTGGACCCCTCGGAGTGTTTGTGCAGCCCCGCTGCCCTTGGGGTGGCACTGCCAGCTGGGGGCACAGGGGTGGGATAATGGGATGGGATGGGATGGCATGGCATGGCATGGCATGGCAGGGGATGGCATGGCATGGCATGGCATGGCATGGCATGGCATGGGATAATGGGATGGGGGCCCTGCCCTGTGCCCCCAGGACTCTCCGTGCTGGGCTCTTCATCCCAGGCTCAGCATCTCCCAGTTCAAGCCCTGATCAGGGGTGTCTGAGCTGGAGGATGTCCCTGGCCCATCTCTCACCATGAAAACTCTTCCCTGCCTTTGTCACTCTGGTTTCGCTCCCAGCTCCTCCCCAGCTCTCTCACAGCATCTGTCCTCCTGCACAGGGATTCCCCATTCCCTCCTTGCAGCCTGCTTGGGAAAGACGGAGAGGAGAAGGGGAAAACTGGGTGGCTGCTGGCTCGTGTGTCAATTATACATCAGAGGTTTTGCTGCTGCTTCAGAAGATTCTAATAATAATTATTATAATTAGGGCACTGGGAGAGAAATGTGCTGAGATCAGGGAGGAAAGCAGGAAAGCCAGGCCAGAATTAATTAGCCACTTTTATCTAAGAATCTCAAAGCATTTAGACATTAATTACCGGGTGCTGTGGTTCAGTCAGCCGATGCTCCTCTGCTGCCGGTGCCGGGCTGGGCTCAGCCCCTCCGTGCCCACTGCTGCTGCAGGCATCCCCCGGGCACAGAGACGGCTCCGTGACCCCCCGGCTGTCCCCAGAGCCCCAGGAGCCCCGGCCCGGGCAGCTGTGGGCTCTGCAGCGGGGCACACCCGGCCCTGGCACACCGGGCACCCCGTGCCCAGGGGAGCAGAGGCTCCTGCTGCCCCATCCACCTGTGCCACTGGCGCCTGGGCAGCAGCAGAACTGCTCACTGGGGCAAAGCCTCTCTGTCTCCTGGCTTAGCCGTGGTGTGCCCATTGTTGGTGAATATTCATTAAGTGAAATTAGCATCTAATAGGTCTTAATTGACTTATAAAAACCCTGTTTTGTGGTAATGAAGCCTCTGCTGTAGCAGTGCCTGAGGCAGCTGGTGGGTCCCTGTGCCCCAGCAGCCACCCGGCTCCATCCCTTCTCCTTCCCCACAGCCCCGGGAGATGTGCCTGCCCACCCGTGGGAGCGAGCACAGCCAGCCTGGAGAGACCCGGGCTGTGGGGGTGTCCCCCCTGCCCGTGGTGTGTGTCCCTGCCCGTGGTGGGTGTCCCTGCCCGTGGTGGGGGTCCCTGCCCCTGGTGGGTGTCCCTGCCCCTGGTGGGTGTCCCTGCCCCTGGTGGGTGTCCCTGCCCCTGGTGGGGGTCCCTGCCCATGGCAGGGGCTGCAGTGACACAAACATCCCTCCCAGCCCTAAATCCCGGGGCCGTGTGGCAGCCCCGAGTCCCAGCCTGCAGAAGGGTCTGTGGCCTGAGCACTGTGAGCTTGCAGAGCCCCACTGGTGATGCCAGCAGTGCCCTGGGCCCTGCAGGAGGGGTTGGGGTTGGGTGAATGGTTTGGGTGCTCGAGGCACAGCCTGAGCCCTGCTCCTGGCTGGAACAAAGCCCTCCGGGTTTCACTGCTGTGGGATGTGGGTGCCAGCTGCAGCTAGGAGCTGGAATCCACACAGCTCCTGAAGTGTTCTCAGAGCACGTGGGTCAGGGTTTTACACGGGCTCAGCCATAATGCCTTTGTCCAAGACTAGAAATGGATAAAAAATTTCAGTTTAGCCATTATTGACTGTTTTCAGACAAGACACAGGGCAGCTTTGAAGTGAGGCTGTAAATTAGAGTGGCCCTGCAGCTCCCAGACTGAGAGACTCCTTCATCATTGACAGGGAAGAGCAGGGAGGAGATGAGGAGGCTTCCTGGCTTCTGGTTTTCCGCCTGTTCCTGTAAATAGTGTGCTCTGTGTGCCTGCCTGGGTGAGGGTGGAGACACAGGAGAGCAGGGCAGTGCCATGGGGCTCCCAGTGCTCACAGCCCCTTCCCCACCCCAGGCTCTGCCCCCGGCCTCAGGGGCTCTCAATTGGCACCAACATCTATTTCTCTTTTTCCTTCCTTTTCCCCATTTTTCAGTGGGGGTCTGGAGCTGGGGCTGAGCAGCAAAAAGTCACCTGAGTCCATGGTGGGAGGATGTTTCCCCAGCTGGCCCCACAGGAGCTCTGGTGCAGCTGTGACCTGTGTCCCTGTCGCTGTGCCCCTGTCACCGCTGCCAGCCCAGGGCAGAGCTGCAGCTCCAGCCAGAGCAGCCCCCTTCTCTGTTGTTCCTGCAGCCCCTGTCCCACCTGAGGGACCCTCAGCTGAGGACAAGCCGTGGCTCCTGTCATGGTCAGAGCAGGGCTGCAGAGCCGGGTGGTGCCTCTGGTGGGCTGGGGGGGTCAGGGCTGTGCAGGGCTGGCAGGGGCTGCTCCCTGGTGGTGTTTCCATGCTCTGGGGATGTCAGGGCTGTGCAGGGCTGTTCCCCGGTGGTGTTTCCATGCTCTGGGGGTGTCAGGGCTGTGCAGGGCTGGCGGGGGCCCTCCCTGCCAGGCAGGATGGATGCTCCCCGATGACCCCTGTGTCCGTGCTGGCTGCGCTGCCGTGGGCACGGAGCCGCAGTTGCCGGTGCCAGCTCTCCCCTCGGTCACGGACTGCTGCGGCTGGGCAGGGCTCCAGCTGGAGAGCAGAGCCCAGCCCTGCGCCGCAGCACCAGAACCGTCACTGTCCTGGCTGCCCTGGCCGGGCTCTGCAGGGGAAGGACCCGCTGTCCCCGGAGGCTCTGGCTGGGTGTGCCCAGGCTGCTCGGAGGCAGGACTGGGGTGTTGGGGGGTGATGCCCGCCAGGACAGAGGCTGGCAGTGCTGGCTGCCCCAGCTGGCTCTGCTGAGGAGCCTCGGAGCAGGAATGGTGTCTGGAGAAGTCAGGGCTCAGCTGTGGTTCCTCCCTGGGGATCTCTGCAGAGGTTTCAGCCCACGTTGGGTATGGAGCAGCCCAGGGCAGTGGGGTGGGTGAGGAGCTCCAGGCCAAGGGGGATGTGCTGCTGCTGGGTCCTGGGGGAGCTCTGCTGGGTCCTGGGGGAGCTGTGCTGGCGCTGTGGTGATGTCCAGGGGAGGTCCCTGCGAGGGTCCTGTGGCCCTGGCTGCCCTGCCAGCCCAAGGGGGCTCAGCAGCCTGTCCTGGGCTCTGGGGGGGTCTGGAGCTGCCGTAACCCCGGGCTCTCTGTCCCCCTGCAGGCGAGCCCTCCCGCTGGTCCTCGTCCCACTGCGACTGCTGCTGCAAGAACGGCAAGGGCGACAAGGAGGGCGAGAGCGGCACGTCCTGCAACGAGCTGTCCACGTCGAGCTGCGACAGCCAGTCCGAGGCCAGCTCCCCGCAGGAGACCGTCATCTGCGGGCCCGTCACGCGCCAGCCCAACATCCAGACTCTGGACCGGCCGGCCAAGAAGGGGCCGGTGCAGCTGCTGCAGCAGTCCGAGATCCGCAGGAAGAGCGACCTGCTGCGGACGCTCACCTCCGGCTCCCGCGAGTCCAACTCCAGCAAGAAGAAAGCAGTCAAGGAGAAGCTCTCCATCGAGGAAGAGCTGGAGAAATGCATCCAGGATTTCCTCAAAATCAAAATCCCGGAGAGGTTTCCCGAGAGGAAGCACCCCTGGCAATCCGAACTGCTGCGGAAGTACCACCTCTAGGCTTCGGGTGGGCAGAGCACGGCCTTGTTACGCTAGAGCCAGATCCCAAGTGACACAACAGTAATTCCCAACAACAACTGTTTGTTAGGTCGCCAAAACCAAAACCCATCTCTAGTACTGCCTAATTTGCCTATTTCACCTTAACATTTCTAGTCGTAGGGGAACGATATTTTTGCAGTCCTGGAAGCACAATGACAAACGCTTTTGTTTGTAAACTTGGAGTCTTACACAAGCTGAAAACCTTAAGGGCACCACCAGGCCCACCCCGAGGGACGCTCGTGTGGCCCCGGAGCAGGCAGGGCATGGTGAGGGCTCCGTGCCCTCTGCACCCTGCTGGGGGCACGGTGCCCGCAGGGAGGAGCACAGCACAACGCCCCAGCTCTGCCCCGGCAGTTTAAGCATGTGTATTTATATATGTGCATATATATATGTGTGTATATATATCTCTGTGTATATATATATGTATATATATATCAATATATATTGCTTAAAGATTTTCTGGCTCTCTCCTTATAACTGCACTTTCTCAGAAAAGAGCATTTTTTTTTAGTCTGTGGATGTCCCGTCTCTTCTCCAGGCCTTTGAGGGCTGAGAGGTAGAGATCCATCTCCCTGTCTCTGTGCTGCTCCCCTGCCAGTCCTTCCCCTCCGTGGGGCACTGTAAAGGTGTCCCAGAGGAGAGCAGGTGCAGCCTCTGGGTTTGTGTTACCATCAGCAAATATCCCCTTTGTTTGGGGTGCCCTTGTCCCTGCTGTGTTTCCTAAGGCTCTCGGCTGTTGGGGGCGTGCTGATCCCCCTGGAAAGCTGCAGGGGTGGCTCCGGGCTGTGGGGGTGCTGGGGAGGGCGCTGGCTCCTCAGGTGCCAGGTGTGTGTGCCAGCAGTGGCTGTCCCAGCTGGCAGGGACAGCGGGCACTGCGCCCCTCTGCCCCAGAAATCCCCCAGCCCGCCCGGGGGGCTCTGAGCTGTGGCTGCAGGAGGGAGCAGGGCTGTGCCAGGGGGAAGCAGCCCCAGAGGAGCTCCCTGCAGCCCCTCCTGTGAGTGCCAGCCGTGCCAGGGCCGTGTGGCACTGCAGCAGAGCACGCCCTGTGCCCGTGTCCCCGGAGCTGTGGGAAGGGCTGGGCTGGTCCTGCACTGCCCCGAGCCGGGGAAGGGCCAGGGGAGGGGGGCACGGACTGGCCAGAGAGGGGCTGGGGCTGCTGGGGCAGCCGGGGAGAGGGACAGAACACCCCAGTGCTCCAGCTGGGAGGCCACAGCTGGGAACACACCTGCTGCAGGGTTGGGATCAATCATTTCTTTTATAAAGGCACGGGAAGATTTTATATATCTATATATATATATGAATATGAAATGATGGGCAGTGCCAGTGCTGGTAGCTCAGAACTCGGGCTCTGACTCAGTGTCCTGCAGGCTCCAGGGCTCCCCTCCCACGCTGCAGGAGCTGCTGTGGCAGTGCAGGGCTGCTGTCCTGCCTGCACAGTCCCTTCTGCCCCTGCTGCAGCCCCTCCAGGGGAGCCTGCAGGGCTCTGTCACCCCGGCCTGGGCGGGGTCCCAGGGACCCTGGGGCCTCCAGGAGCCCCCAGCCCTGCTCGGGGTCGGGTGCACTTACAGCAGCTAAGAAAGGAAGCAATACTTGTGCAGAGGGTGGGTGGCAGGAGCTGGCTGCAGCTGGGGAGCCTGGCAGCAATGCCCTGCAGGTGCCTGGGCCCCCGGGCTCACCCTGGGGTGCTGTGGGTGCAGCAGGAGCCATCCCTGATGGAACTGTCCCCGCTGTGGGTGCTGCAGGGGGGCTCTGCCTGGGAAATGCTCCCTGGAGACACCCAGCCCTCCTGGGGCTGTGCTGCAGGGCCAGCTCGGGGCTTGGGACATTCCCTCCCACTGGAATTCAGGCTCTCGTGCCACCCTCTACTCACAGGCTATCTTCCCACGGAAATCAATGATTTGTGCAAGCTCCACAGATTTGGCCCTGCTTGGTTATGTCATGGTTAGTTTATAGCATTTTTCTCTCCCGTTTCACTCAACATTTCCTGCATCTTGTCCCCCTGGGACCCCTGCCCCCCTGCTCTGGCACCAAGCAAGACCCAGGAGCAGATGGAGCTCTCCTCTGGATGCCAGCAGGGCACAGGGTTCAGGACAGGTTCCCTTTGTTCCTTGGCAGGAGACTGCAGCAAAAACCTGGTGCTGGCACTCCAGATCCTCCCCTGGATCCCTCTCACATCCCAGCTCTCTGGGCAGCGTGTGCAGGGTGGAGGAGCAGGCTTGGGGGAGTGAGTGTGACCCTGTGTGAGTGTGAGTGTGGGTCTGTGAGTGTGAGTGTGTGTGTGTTCCCAGGGACACGGATTGCTCCATGATTAATCACTGGGGGAAAATTAGACCAAATGAAATGAGCCCAAGTGGGCTTGATTTATGTGGCCTTCACGTCTCCAGCGTGAGATGAAATGGTTATTGCTCTCCAGTGCTACAGAAATAAAGGTCTTAAACCTCAGCAATCACAGGCAGCCCCCCCCTGCAGGGAAAGCTGGGCTGGGCAGGGCAGGGCAGTGCCAGGCTCTGTGTGTGTGTTTGTGGGACCTGCTGTGGTGTGACCCTCGGGCAGCTGTTCTGTGTGCTTCGTGCCCAGCTGGGGCTGTGCTGGCAGGCTGCTCACCATGGCCCCGAGGCTCAGGGTGCGTGGTGGTGGGTCAGGGGCACCCAGACCTCTGCGGGCAGCAGGAGGGTGGCAGCAGGGTGACCTCCCCCGTGAGCCCGGGAGAGCCCTTCCAGCATCAGTGCCAGGCACACAGGGATGCACAGCTGCACGGGCTGGGGACACAGCCAGCTGGGTGACACTGTCCCTGCAGGGTGGGGACAGACCCAGCTGGGTGACACAGTGTCCTGCACCCTGCAGACCCAGCTGGGGGACACAGTGCCCTGCCCCCTGCAGGGTGGGGACAGACCCAGCTCGGTGACACAGTGTCCTGCACCCTGCAGGGTGGTGGCAGACCCAGCTGGGTGGCAGTCATGTCCTGCACCCTGCAGGGTGGGGACAGACCCAGCTGGGTGTCAGTCAGTGCCCTGCACCCCTGCAGGGCTGGGGACAGAGCCAGCTGGGTGACACAGTGCCCTGCAGGGTGGGGACAGACCCAGCTGGGTGACCCAGTGTCCTGCAGGGTGGGCACAGACCCAGCTGGGTGTCAGTCAGTGCCCTGCACCCCTGCAGGGTGGTGGCAGCCCCAGCTGGGCGGCAGGAGGGGCTGGTGCCTCTCTGGCAGGGCTGCTCCCCCTGTGTGGGAGGTGGCACCTGTCCCGTGCCAGGGCAGGACATCCCTGCAGAGGGTGGGTGGCACCTCCGGCCCCTCCCTCCCTTCCTCCCCTCCCCTGGGGCTGTGCAGGAATGGGGCCGGGATGCAGGTGCAGCACAGGGCAGAAAGGAAACTGGAGCAGAGATTGCCTGAGAGACCCCTGGGCTTGGGCAGAAAACATTCCATCCGGTTCAGCTCGGTTCCAGTGAGAGAACCCATGTGTCTGCCTAGCACAGGTTTGGTAGCAAGCCAGAATTAAACTCCACTCGTGGAGTACTTTATTCTTTCTAAAACATCTGGGCAGAAAACTGGACTTAGAGCTACTTTCCACCAGTAACAAAAACCAAGTTCTGTTACAACTAGTCTGAGAACTTCCCTAGCCAGCAGTGGGACTGAGGCTCAGCTGCCAGGGGCAGAATTCCCAGTTTCAGGGGCTTTGCCACCCCTGAGACACCTGAGCAGGACTCAGAGCACTCGGGGCACGCAGAGCAGGTGTCATTCCACAGACCCACGGGGACCAAGTGCTCTTGTCCCCAAACCATCAGCCCAGAGGCTCCACAGCCCCTGGAGAGCAGGGCGCTCTGCTGGGCTCACCTGGCTGGGTCCCTCTGCTCGTTTTCTCTGCAGGCTGTGGGCTGAAGGAGAAGACAGGGCTGGGTTTTCCTGCCCATCACGTCCCCGAGTCCCCAGCCGTGTCCCTCCCTGCTCCCCCAGCCCCCTCCCCAAGCCCCCCACCACTGCGAGTAGGGGCTTGGTTTCAGAGTACTTTATGCATCAGGCCCCATGTGTATCATGGTACAAAATAATTGTCCAGTCTTATGGATAGTTTATGCCCCAGCGGGGTTTTGTAGATTAATAGTAAAAGAACAAAAAAAAAAAAGAAAAAAAAAAGAAAAAGCACTTTTAAATTATTTATATTATAAAAAGACATTCTTTATTTTTCTTGGCATTGATGTCACTTAGCTAAAAAATCCGTTTATAAATAAGATATTGCAGATTTTGAACTATAGCAATGCTCGAGCAAACACGACTTCAGAGTTCCACAGAGAAAACGAGCGAGGTGAAGCAGAGGGTGGCAGGGCCCCCTGGCTCCGTGGGTGCCCCTGGGGGTCAGAGGATGTCCCTGCGTGCCCCTCAGGCCTGGGCTGTGCTGAGGTGCTGCCAGTGCAATATTTCCGTGCCCACAGGGGAGGCAGAGGGGCTCTGGTGCCCCTGGGCTCTCTCTGGGGCCTTGCTTACGTTACATTTCCGGACCTCATTCAGCACTCAATGACCTCGCCGAGGCCGAGTCAGTCTGTTGCACATTGATGTGGATTAAGTGGCACCCACTGAATTACCTCTCGACTTTCCAGCGTGGTTCACTTGTACATAAGTGTAATGTCAAACTGTTTACAGGTTCTTTTGTGCGTAATTGTGGAAAAAACAAAAAAAAAGTTTTAACTACAAATTTAAAGGAATCGATTTTACTGGAAGGTGTTTAAAAAAATGAATGTGCTTAATACAGTATAGACATCCTTGCTAATGGTCTCACCTGAATGCATGTATCCGTGTTGTCAGTCCCACCAGTGAGGTTATTGGCAATATTCTGCAGTCTGTGAATAGCAAATATGCATAAACTACTGTGACTCTGACAAATATAACTCGGTAACTGTTTCTGCTGTGGTGTGTGAAAAAATCCTGTAGCTTTTAGCCTGCTGTATTTCCCTGGTGCAAGGAGCACCAGGAAGGAGAGACATCTGGGAGAGATGAAGCCACAGCCGTGCCCTGGGCAGGGTGGTGGCAGCCCCTGCCAGGTGCCCGTGCTACCAGTGCTGAAAATGCCATTTCAGAGGCTGCAGCTGGAAGGGAAGGTGCTGGGGAGGGCAGAGCCCGGGGCAGGGTCCCAGGGACCCTGCAGGGGGGGCTCAGCCGGGCTCTGGGGGTGCTGGGGCTCACAGCTGCAGCAGCTGCTCCCTGCCACTGCAGCTCACAGGGAATGGGCTGAACTGGGAGCTGCTGGTTCCCACTCCAGTTCACAGTGGTGTTGTGTACTGGGAGCTGGTGTTTGCCATTCGAGTTCACAGGGAATGGGCTGAACTGGGAGCTGCTCTTTGCCACTCCAGTCCAGCAATGGGTGCTCTGTACTGGGAGCTGCTCCTTGCCACTCCAGTTTAGCAGGGAATGGGCTGAACTGGGGGCTGCTGGTTCCCACTCCAGCTCACAGTGTCTCTGCACTGGGAGCTGCTGGTTCCCACTCCAGTCACAGTGAGAGCTCACAGAGGGCACAGACCAGGATAAAGGCCCTGGTGCCCCTCAGCTGTCCCACACACCCACAGAAGCGCATCCACGGACACCTCCAGGCTTTCTTGCTCACAGGGGTTTAGCCCTGGCTCATGTTAACCCCTTCCCTCCCTGCTGGCTGGGCGTTATCCTCCCTCCAAAGCAGTGGGGATCTCCCCAGATTGTTCTGGGCTGGTTATTATTGTTTTTAATCTGCAGTGCTTGGCTGTGGTCGGGAGGAAGCCCTTTCCCATGGCCCCTTCCTGGCAGGAGGTGAAAGCTCCGTGTCAGCAGCACCTGCCCGTGTGGTGCCTCCCCAGGTGGGTTTGGGTGCTGCAGTGCCTGCCCTCGGGGTTTTGGGCTGTGTCCCTCAGGGTCGGGGGATGCTGGCTGAGCTGCCCTGTGGCCCCAGCCCGGCTGGCAGTGCCACGGGCCAGGTGATGCCAGCATTCCCATCCTGGCACAGCCCCTGCAGGGCCCCAGTGTCCCTGAAGAGCCCTCCCAGCTCTGGGACGAGCTTCCCCCATGCAGCACCCCTGTCAGAGCCCAGGGCTGGGGACAGCACGGGGGGCTGGGGGACCCTGCTGCTGGGCAGAGGGGCTGCAGCCCTGCTCCTGTGCCTGGGCTGGGCTCAGCCTCCATCCTGCAGCCTGCCAGGGGGAGCAGAGCACGCGGGGCTGCTGTGGCCCTGGCTGGTGACAGCTCTGCTCTCAGCACGCCTCAGTCCTGGGCAGGGCTCCCCTCCCTGTGCCCACTCCATTCCGGAGCAGGAGAAGGATTTTGGCTACTCTGAGCACTGCTGAGCACTGGCTGCTCTGCTTCTCGTGTCAGGGCAGATGTGAAAGAGCAGAGGGTGCTGAGGTGGAGCACCTGCACAGTAATTACTGAGGATGTAATTACCTCCCCCACGCAGCGCGGGGTGATGTGCACGGGAAGGAGGAGAGATTCCCTTTGATACCAGGTGATACAGAAAATGAATTTAATCTGCCTTACAACTATATAATTAAGAGAGCTTATATATAGAAATATCTATCTATCTATCTCCCCACAAGTGTGTTTCTGGCTGGGACGGGGTGGGCAGCACCAGGCCTGGGCTGGCCCTGCTCTCTGCCCCAGGAGACAAACTCAAAGCTTGCCCAAAGCCTTTTCAGAGCAGAGGGCCTGCCAGGGACCCCCCTCCCCTGCCAGAGACAAACACTTCCCTGCCAGGGACCCCCTTCCCCTGCCAGGGACCCCCTTCCCTGCCAGGGACCCCTTCCCTGCCAGGGACCCCCTTCCCCCCAAGGCTGAGCTGTCCCAGCACCCACACCTGGCACCAGCTGTGGCTGGGGAGGCTGTGCCAGCCCGTGCCACCCTTCTGCTCCTGACCCTG